GCGTGCGTCAGCCCAGCCCCCCTTCCCCTTGTTATCCTGGGAGGGGGCTGCATGGCCTCTGGGCTGTGGCCCTGTCTCCATGTGGGTTCTGCCAGTGACGTGCCGATGACAGGCAGGGCAGCACGGCCAGCGGGGAGCTCGTTACCGCTGCAGGCACCTCTCATCAGCGCTCAACACCCTGACAGGGGGCAGTCGGCGCCGACGGGGCCACGACGCAGGGGGATGCAGGAGGGGGCGGCTGGGCCCAGCACGCACAGCCACTGCCTGCCTGCAACAGCATCCCCATGGACACGTGTGCATGGGCATGGTGCAGGCTGCACCCCCCCCCAGGCCAGGACGTGGCAGGATGCATGCCCCGCATGCAGCACAGCTGCAATTGGCCGCACTGCACCCATGTATGCGTGCAGATGTACCCCCCCTTTCCCAGGCAGGAGCCCATGGGCAGCACATGGAGCACCCCCCACCATAGCCCTTCACTCCCAGCCCCCCCCAGGCTACTCCCCCTTCAAGGGGCTGCCTCAGGGAGCCAGACCCTCTCCTCCCACACCCAGGCTAGCAAAGGAGGGTTGAAGCCACAGGTGCTTGGAGCTGACATCTTCTGGGCAGGCGCGGGGGGAGGAAGGGGAGCAGGGCATAGGCCTGCAGAGCCTTGCAGTGGGGAAAGGGTTAAAGACCGCCCAGAGCCTCCACCTGCCCCACCAGGGGGTGAAAGCCCCTTCCTGCAGGTGTCCCTGGGCACAGGGAACCCCCTGCCCTGCCCCACCTCAGAGCTAGTTGCATCGGTCGGGGGGCACACGAGGCCCTGACAGGTGCGAGTCCAAAACCAGAGTGCTTTATTGGCGGGTTGAACACAGAGTCTGACAGTCGGAGCCAAGGAGACCCCCCACCACCACCACCACGCAGGGCCTTGGGGGGCTGGGGGGGTAGCAAGAGAGCGCAGCTGTTGGGGTGGGCTGTGCCAGAGGCCCTGGCCCGGTGGGCAAGCAGCTGGCAGGCGGGGATGGCATGCAGGGCGACAGGGTGGGGTTCTGGGGGGTCACTGCGGGGCTGCAGCTTCACTGGGGGTGCTTTCTTCGGGGGGGGGGGTGCCTGGAGCGAGATGAGGAGGTGTAAAGTGTCACCAGACAAAGGAGGGGGATGACTCAGCAGACACACACGTGTGCAAACCCACCGGTGTGCACACAGGCTCGCGTGTGTAAACCTGCACAGCTGTATGTGGAGAGGGGGAGTGAGGTGGCTCCAGCCTGCGGGGGGGGCAGGGGGCTGTGCATGCAGAGATGGGGCTCGGGGGCAGCTGGGGAGCGCAGGGAAGGTCTGGCCCCATGGGCAATGAGCGGGGGTCTCCCTGGCACCCTCAGCACCCCTGTGCCTCGCTCTCCTGCTGCCACCCTGTGCCTGGTGCTGCCCAGCCCTATGCAGGTGCGTGAGCAGGGGGATTCTCTGCACACAGCCTGCAGCGCGGGGCCCATGACACACGAGTGAGCCATTCCACTCATTTCTGGCATGTGGCTGGGGGTGGGGCAGACCCACGGACACCTTGGGTGTGGGTAGCAGCGCCCGTGGCCGTGGCAATGACCCCCTGGCCCTGCAGCCCCCTCCCACAGCCCGGGACACAGATGGTATCAGCAGATAAGGCTGAGTTGGAGGGGCTCTTGGAGAGAGGTGTGCAGGGGGCAACCCTAGGGTGGGGGGAGCTGGGTGCCTCCATTCTTATGGGGGTATGGACGGGGGTCTCCAAACCTTGGTGGAGGGCCAGGTGCAGGCTCTGTCTGTCTGGGGGGATTCCCCCCCCTTGAGGGCTCTGGGGACTATGGGGGGGCAGGGACTGCATTGCCCACTCTGGTGCTGCCCCAGAGGCTGGAGGGCTGCTCTCTGGGACAGCCAGAGGTGGGGGCGTCTAGGAGCCCAGAGCAGCCCCGCAGTCCTGGCCCCCCACACCCCCAAGCCCCGTGCCCATGCCCTAAGCAGCGGGCTCCCCCTTCCCAGCTAGGCCGGGGGGTCCCGATCCCCGGTCACCCCATGCCACAGCGGGGGCGGGGGGCTCAGTCCGGGTAGATGATGAAGCCGGAGAAGGTGCTGTACTTGTTGGTGTTGCCGCCATGCACCTTGCCCCCGTCCAGCTTGACAAAGACCTCGTCGCCCACATCCAAGTGCAGGATGACGCTGTTGCTGGCGTAGTCATAGTTCTGGTCGGCGTCCTGGGCAATAGCGCTGGCCCGCACCTGGGGAGATGGGGCAGGTGTCAGCAGGGGGGCAGAGCCTGCAGGGACGTCCCCCCCAGGACACCCCAGTGCAGAGAGCTCCCCCTATGCCAGCTCCCCTGCAGCTAGGCGCTCCCCCATTCCCTTAGCCCCCCATCCTGCGCCGCGCACCGCCCTGCAGCAGCTGGGGCTCGGCCCGCTGCCCCCCAGGGTCTGCCGTCCGTGCTGCGGCCCGGTTTAGCCGCAGGGGCGCAGATGGGTCTAGCCCCAAAGCCAAACACAGGGGGTGGGGCAGTGCATCCCCTGTGCCCCGGCGCCTGCCTGCGCATGCTAAACCTGCCGCTAATCCGAGGGCTGTGGTCATGACCCCTTGCCGCAGGGACCGGGGCTTTTTCACCCAGCGCCAGCTGGTGTGAACGGGAAGGGGGGGCAGGGTCCCAGGCTGGGGGCTCTGGCTCCCGGGGTGCAACCGGGTGGGCTGAAGGGCTGGGGAATATGGGGCCTTGCTGGTCTCCCCCGCCAGCCCCCAGCAGACCCCCAGCAGACGCATGCAGCTGCGCGTGTAACACACGCACAATGCCCCAGCTCGCACACACCAGCCTCTGACACACATGCAGGCCCCAGCAGGCTCCCCTGACTCCAGGTAGGCACTGGGGCTCTGCCCACATGGCAGTGCTGCCCCCACGGCTCTTGCCAGGATCCCCTCGCCAGGACCTTGGCTCATTAGGAAATGAAGTAACTCATCAACGTGGGGCCCGGGAAGGCTGGAGCAGGCTCTGGCGGGGCCCTGGGCTGCGGCTGGGCCACAGTGAGGGGGAGGTTTCGGGAGCCTCGCTGTCCCCTCTCCCAGCAGGTTGATTAACCTGGCAAATAATTAAGGGCTGTTGTTTAATTCCGCCCAGGCTCTGCGACACTGCATTATTAATGGCGCCTGCGGATGGAATTTGCACAGTCTCATCCTGCCCCAGGGAACAGAGTTGGGGGGTGGGGGTGGGGGGGCGGCGCGTGCACACGGGTGTTGCGGCAGCACTGGCATGTGTACATGGGTGTCATGGCAGTGCTGGCATGCGTGTCACAGCAGTGCTGGCATCTGCACATGGGTGTAGCAGCGGCACTGGCATGTGCACACAGGTGTCATGGTGGCACTGGCATGTAAGAATGGGTGTTGCAGCCATGCTAGCGTGTGCACACAGGTGTTGCAGCTGTGCTGGTGTGTGTGTACATGGGTGTCGCGGTGGCACTGGTGTGTGTGCACAAGTGAGGCAGGCGTGCAGCTGCGCACAGGAGCAGGGAGGGGGGAATTGGGGTGGCGGGAGGCCACCAGCTGCTTGCTGTCTTTGCTGTCACCTTTCCCCGGGGTACGGGTGACCCCGAGAGGCTGACAGGAGCTGACAGGCATCCCCTGAACCTGGCAAGGGCGTGTTGGAGCACCACTGCCGTGGCAGACTGCACCCAGGACCCGCTGGGGGCAGGTGACAGGAGGAGGGGAGACAGGCAGTGGGGGAGGACTCATGCTGGGCTGGACAAGGGGGACACACCCCACCCTGCCTTGCACATGGGCCTGGCTTGGTGGGTAAGGGATCCTCATGCCAGCCCCACCAGGGCCCTGTGCAGTGGTCATGAGGAACCAATCCCGACTGTGGGGGCCAGACCAGCAGGCTGGGAGTGTGCCCACTACAGCCCCCTCCCCACTGCCTCCAGGGCCCATCACTCGGCTCTGGCATGAGCTGCCCTGACTTTGCTGCAGGGTGGGTGGAGGGGGCTCCGGAGAGGGCAGGCCTGCACACTGGGCTGCCCTTGAGTCTGGACCAGGGCAGCTGAGCCCCAGGCAGGCTTCGGACAGGCCCTGGCGGGCAGTCTCTGCCAAGGGTGACCGCATTCCCGCTTGAGCCGCCCGGCAGCTGCCTGTCACAGCGCAGCAGGGATCAACCTGCCAGCCAGGCTCATGGCAGACAGCGGATGAGTGTCTGCAGCCGCTGTGGGGCGATTTAGACTTGGGGCTGGGAATCCATCTCTGCCGGGGACCCTGCCTGTGCTCAGCCAGCTCTCACCACAGCCCCTGCTTGCTGCTGCATCATGCAGCTGCGCAGGGGCATGGTGAGGTCCCATGCATGAGCTTCCTGGGTGGAAAGCGGTGTCCTGAGGCATCTCTGTGCAGATGGGGGCATTGCTCCGCGGCCCCAGCTGCAGCTCTAGCCAGACGCAGGCCTCTGCCCCGTCGCACCTGCTTGCGTGCAGCTGGAACAGCATTGAGGTTCCACCCCAGAAGTGGTTGCATATCAAGGGTTTGTCACGACAGAGGCCTCTAGAGATGCAGATGTGGGGTCCGGGGCCTCCTTCGGGCTGGGGCTGAGACGCTGGGAGTCTGCAGCTGGGGTCTGGGAAGGAAATGCGGCCATCTCAGGTGGGACGTGACAGCACGTTAGCCCAAGGTGACAGCGCAGGGTGAAATGCAGCTGCCTCTGGGGCAGAACACGGCGTCTCGGGAACAGTGCTCTGTGGGCACGGGGTGGGAGGGAAGCCCGGTGTCCTCTGCAGCTGCCCCTGGGAGGCAGACGGGAGGTGTCGTGACCTGGCTGTCTGCGCTGACAGCTGCGGCTCGGGCCCGGCAGCCGGGGCAGAGCGCCTCCTGCTGCCCCCGTCCTCTGTGGAGCCAGAGGCCGAGCTGACAGGGCCGCAGCTGGCGCAGGTGACAGCGCGTCAGCCGGTGCTGTGGTCTCACAGGAGCGCCGTGGCGGCCTGTTGATGAGCTGACTGCAATTCCTGCGGCATTGGCTGAGTGGGAGATGAGGATTCAGAGCATCCCTGGACCGGGGAGGGGAGTCGCGCTCGGCGTGGGGCCCCAGCCCTCCCTGGGTCCATTCTGGCCCTGCTTTTGGTCTCTGGATCATCAGCACCTGTGAACTCCAGGGATGGGTCTGAGCCAGGCCCTGGCGGGATCCCACCCTGCTCCCGTAGGGGCAGGGGAGCAGAGCCCAGACCCCTATCCTGACTCCCCATTGCTGCCAGGGGGTGCAGGGGGGTGATCCCACCTCAAACCGTTGGAGCTGGGGTCCCGCAGGGGCTCTTCAGGGGCAGGCGCCCAGATGTCACCGCTCCCGGGCTCTGCTCCCGGGGGTGAGAGGGGGCAAGAAGGAGAAGCAGGTGCCTGGACTCCTGGAGTCTGCTCCCAGATCAAGGCCTGGTGCTGCTCCCCCCTTGTCCCTCTGCCCTGGCGGCACTGGGACGTCCTTGGCTGGTCTCGGAGCTGAGCAATGTCTCAAGGCCGGGCTCCAGCTGCCCGGGGAAGTGAGACAGCCCGGTTGGAGGGGGGTGGGAGGGCTGCACGGAGCCAGCAAAGCCCCCTCCTCAAGGCAGGAGCTGCCCCCAGCTGCCTCATTGCTGCAAGACCCATGCGTGGGGGGAGGAAAGCACGTTTGATTGACAGCTGCCAAGACTGACATGTCCTTCCCGACCAGCCCGTGGGGACAGCTGTGCCTGCTGCTGGCACCCCTGACCCCCGGAGAGCTGCGCGCGGGGCCGAAGCAGCGTTGAATCTCCGCGGCCCATTTAATCCTTGACCTCTCTGCCTGCGCAGCCAATTAGTGCCGGCACGGACACCTGTCTCCTGCCCCAGAAGAGGGGCCGGGCCCCCGCGTGCCCGCCTGTGACAGGGACCGGCTGGGCCCCCGGGCAGTCGGCTCTGGATCCGGCTCCCGCCCGTCGCCACGCTTCACGGCCGCCCCGTAATCGCTGTGAAGGCTCCAGCGCTCGAGCTGTCGCTGCCCGGCAGCCCTCGGACGCCGGGAGCTGACGCTGATGTGGGGTGAAAGCCACGGCGCCAGGCCCGGCAGGGCGACATGCGGCCAAGCATCCCGCGCGCCAGGGCCTTGGCTGGGGGGGCTGTACTCCCACCCCCAGCCGAATCTAGGCCGCGACAGGGCTGTGACCCCATCACCCCTGCACCCTGCTCACATCGCCTAGCCGCTGCGTCGCCGGTACCGGTGCCAGCGAGGGGGACGGTGGGGCTGGCTTTGCACCGCCAGCTGCTTGGCAGCGGGTCCCGGCAGCCCCGATCCTGCGCAAGGGGGGCATGCAGCAGGTCATAACGGCTTCACAGCCCACCTGCTGGCAGCCCCTGCCCGTTGGAAGCCCCCCGGCCCTGCCTGGATTTACGGCAGCCGCCGGACCCTGCCTCACAAATGAGACATAAATCCCACCAAGGTTTTAATTCCCCGGTAAAATAAGCTACATAAATAAAAAGTAAACGGGGCCTTTATTAGACCGGGGAGGGCCGGGCAGGGGGAGGGGGCCGGGATGAGATGAGCCGCCTCGGCCCTGATCTCAGCTGACAGGAGGGTATTTTGGTATTAAAAATAAAATAAAAATCCTACTGACAAATTGACTGCAGACAGGGCCCTGGGGACCAATTGAGGGAACCGATATTACCAGGTGCGCTGTCAGTTTCCAAACCTCCTGATATTTATTATTTAATAAACGGGCGATGCTGCCTGGTCGAGAGGGGAGGGGGCGCAAAAATGGTAAATGATCAATAGATGGAAAATGCCGCCATTAATCTCCCTTAGAAAAAGAGGGGGGGAGGGAGAAAAACCGCCCAAACTTTATGATGGTTTCTTTCAATCTGGTGCTTCCAGAGCTCGGCTTTTTAAAACACGATCTGTATCCTAAGCTGGGAATAAACCCGGCGGAGCTAAAATCATCCTGGATCAACACACACACACATACACGTAGATAAGGAGAGCGGCAGAAAGTGTGTGTGTGCGCGCGTATGAGATTAGATGGATAGATAGATACACATGTATATCTATATGTAGATAGATATGTGCATGTGTGTGTATATGTGCTGATAGATAGATAGATAGATAGCGTGTGTGCATAGGTAGATATGTATATAGATATGTAGATACGTGTGTGTGTGTATAGATAGATAAAATAAGTCTGTATGTATGCGTATGCATGTGCATCAAATATATATGCGTGTATGCGTGTATGCATGTGCATCTAATCTGTGTGTATGTATATAAATATATATCCGTGTGCATCTAGTGTGTGTGCATGCACATCTAATGTGTGTGTGTATGCATCTAATATATATTATACACACATACCTTTATTATACACACACACGTGTGTATGCATGTGTGCGTGTGTGTATGCCTGTGCATGTAATGTATGTCTGTGTGCATGTGTATACATATACGCATGTACAGCTAATGTGTGTGTATGCATCTAATAGATAGATAGATAGCTATATTATACACACACCTGTATTTTACACACGTGTGTGTGCGTGTATACACTAGAATTAGGCTGGTGATGTTAGCATGCCTGAGGCCAGCTCTGGCTGGTGGTAGCGAGGGCAGAGTTAACGCAGCCGCATCCCTTGTGCTGTTGGCCCCAGCCCTGGGGGTGCAGAGGATCCTGCTAATATTTTGGCCCCTTCCCTGTGGCTTCCATACACTGACTAAGAATGAGTTGATCCTCCTGCGAAACAGGCAGCCACCCAGAGCCTCCTGGTTCTCGTGGGGGCTCCAGGGGAGGCAGAGAGAAGCCGGCAGGCGGAGGGTGCCTGCCCAGGGGTGGGGTGGCTGGGGGGGCCCTGCTGCTCTCTGGGGGTGGGAGCCTGTTTTAATGGCAAGGCCTAGGCAGGAGCTGCTCCAGGACAGCAGCCAGCCCCTCCGCGGGTCGCCGGGTCAGTGCTCCCTAGCCTGCCTCCCCACTGCACCTGTTCACACCAGCTCATCCCAGGCACATAACATCCCTGTTCTGGGCTGAGACCTGCAGGGTTTGGCCTGGGTGCAAACAGCCACACACGGGAAGCACAAACCCCTGCTCCCAGTGACCCCAGGCCAGGATCCGGCCCGGCGGCGCATGCATAGCCACGAAAGCGACTCGCTGACATATAAAACAGCAGCTCTGGGCTTCGGTGCCGGCTAATCCCTGTGCCAACGCGTTCCCCGAGTCTCCTGGCAATCGGATGTAAATATGTATATTGATTCGATCAAGAGACACAACAGCCGGCTTCTCGGGAGGTGCTGCTTTCATTAGTTCAGGCAGCCGTGGGGGAAGGCTCCGCGGCACGGGAAGTTTGAGATCAATGGCTTATTTATCTTTAATAAATGGAAAATGTCCAGGACGAGGGTTTAAACGGTTACATTTCAGATCAACTGTCTCGTTATTCTCTTATTAAAAAAATAAAATGATCATCTGACGGCGAATAGCTTAATTCCAGCCCTCCCGAGCTTCTCCAGGCAGCTGAAAATCAATTCAATAAGGCAGGAAATGAATAATATTTCTCCGTGCTTTTTTTTTTTTGGTTGTTGTTGTTGCTGGTCTAGGTTTACGCCTTGGCTTTCCAGGCACCCCACCCCACCTGGGCTCCGGAGAGGGGCTAGGGAAAGATGTGGAAGATTCGGGAGGAGTTTACCCAAGGCTGCATATAAGAAAGAGGGAGGAAGAGACAGCGGAGCCTCCATGGATGAACGTACGTAGGTTTTTATTCCCCCCACGCTGGGGAGGAATTTGGAAAGATTTTAGAAAAAATATCTCTCCACCTGCACTGTTTGCCACGCACGTCTATTTAACGCTGTGCATACGTCTCTAAAGTACTATGCAGTTGTGTGCACGCGCGTGTATATGTATTCAGATAGAAATTTACACGCACACTTTATAGACAGGCACAGTGGCTTCGGTCTATGTGCGTGATAGCATTCAGGGTTATGTGCACGGAGAATTGCATCTAAAGCATTACACATGACATATACCTATATATTCCAGCTAGCCACACACCGTAGGCTTGCCGGTCGTTAAAAGTAACGGACTTAAATGCTCCTAATTTTGCACAGATGCCCACCACCCAACTACTCCATTGTCTACAGGACCTGCACGGTATTTCTATGATAGACACCAAAGTGTAGGGATGATTTATACCTATATCTATACACACCGAGTATGCATATAAATATACAGTGGTCCGTGCCTCGAATGTTGTACAATTTATCAGGATACGTGGTGAGCTACATCCTATCCTCTCTACGTGTCGGCTGTCCGTTACAGACGATAGAAACCCGCATTTTGAAAGTGGATTTTACGCACATCGCCTGCCTACGCCCAAATGCACGTAGACAGCTCGGGATAGTGCCAGGATCCAGCCCGTGCACACAAATACATGCACACACCAACTTCTTTAGCATCCCTTCTCCTGGAAGCTCAGTGAAGGTACCACGGGTTTTAGGGCTGAAATGTGGTTTCTCCTGGGGAAGGAGCCTGGCTGGAGCCTTTGTCTGCTGCTCCCCTCCCTCCACGCCAGAAAAATTAAACCTCTCCGCCGCACACCCTGAATCTTATTCAACTTTACCAGCCCGTTCCGCTACACGCCGAGAGTGTCTCCGTGCCGCTGTGATTGGCACGGACATGGTTTTATCCTAACTGTGATTTATTGCTGTTTACATGGGGGGAGGGTTGAAAACCTATTTTTCTTCTAACAATCACTGAAATAAAGTTCTCTGCTCCCTGCCTCCCGCCAGCCGCTGGGAACCCGACACAACGTTATTTGCACACCGCTGAGCCCGGGGCTCGATTCAGAACACAAAACACCGCTCGGCTTCTCCGGGCTCCTGCTCATTGGGATTTTCCTGGCCTTTTTTCCATTCAAAAAAAGAAAGGAACAAGAGCAGTCCGAACCCCGCTGCCCCCGGGGTCGCCTGGGCAGGGGAGAGAATCGCACCGGTGTCTCCAGCCCCGTCTGGTCCCTCTCTTGGGCTTTAAAAACCCAGCAGGTCCAAACCCGAGCCAGGGGGTGAGGACACAAGTTACCCGGAGAGGTGGTGGCATCTCCATCCTTGGAGGTATCTAAGACCTGGCTTGACAAAGCCCTACCTGGGGTGATGAAGTTGGGGCTGGTCCTGCTTGGACCCGGGGTAGGACTAGATGTGACCTCCCGAGGTCCCTTCCCACCCAAATTTTCAATGATACTAGTATGGGCACGGCCAAGGGCAGCTGTAGGGATGTTCCTGCAGCCCCTGGCTGCCTTCCTCCGGCATCGCCCATGTCCTAGGATTTTCCTTTCACTCTTTATTTTACCCCCGTCTCCCCCTCCAAACCCAAAGGCTTGTGCATCAGACCCCGCGGACAGGCTCTCCGGGCACCAACCCCCTTGCACAGGGCCCTTGGGGGACCCCTGCCCCCTTCCAGAGCGCCCCAAACCCCCTCCCCTGGGCCCGGGAAGGGGGCCCAGGTGTGGGCAGGGCCCAGGTGAGGCCTTACCTGCCCGTTCTTCATGAGGTCGGCCCACATGCTGGTGCCATCGCCACCCCGCATGAGCACGTGGTAGGTGAAGAAGTAGATGCCCGGCAGCGGGCAGGTGAACTTGCCGCTGGACGGCTCGTAGTAGTTGCCCACGTTGGTCACCACGTCGTCGAAGCGCAGCACCTCGTAGCCCTCGTGCGGCTTGCGCAGCCCCGCGTAGAAGGCGATCTTGGGGCTGTAG